GCCTCAAAGCGGCTTATTCGGTTGGTATGTTCAATTCGACAATATTTGGCACTGACAGATGGTCCCTGCCGCGCTACTTTGAGTACGACCTCGTGAATGGACCTGCAAGATCGTCCTCTTCGTTGGCACCCTCGAACTCTGATGGTGGCTGACGTCCGTCCTCGTTTTTCATGATCTTCAATTTGATTGGGGCGAGTGGCATCGACCCCTGAGTCGCGTCTGGCCACAAGCTGCGGTGTTCGGCGCTGCACATGCTGTGAGTACTGGATTGAGTGTCTTGCGTTTGCTTGGCATGTTTGTTGATGCGTCGCATGAAGTGCTTGTTGTCTGCAGCCGTATAACTCTCGGTTGTGCGTCTAGGTTTTGAGTTGTCATGCCGTGGCTGGAGTGGTGCCCGGATCCTCAACAACCAGACGCTCAATGGGTCAAGACTGAAACGCAAGATGAACGCGATGATCCGCCTCCGCGCCACACATACAGGGAGTGGAAGGAGTTCTATGCCCCAAACCTGGCTCATGACGAAGACCAGCCCACCACGCACTTGGTACAAGAGGGACTGGACCACTGAGGGCTACCGGCGTGTTGCTGCTCCTGAAGCTGTTCAAGACTTCAATTCGATGTTTCCTCATCAACATAGCGTGGCCACGCAATCTTCGGCTCTGAGTATGACACCGCAGATGTTGAGTGCGATTCTCCGATCTTCGGATGCTTCTGAATTCTCTGTTGAAGATCTTACTCGTCTTCAGGTGGGATCTGTCAGCAACTGTCAGAACGCGCGCGTCAAGCGTCCCACCATCCAGCACATGTATCTCGTGGAGTTGCACCGCCCGAATCTATGGGGGTCGCTGATCTAAATACACCTGCGGGTCAATCAGGCAGCTCTACCAACAAGGCGCAGCCCATCTTCGAGCTAGGTGACGTATAAACCGATGCATCTTGATCGTGACATGAAAGAGTGTCACCTTTGCTCTTGCTTACTTGTGTGTTTGCCGGTTGTGCATGGTTGTGCATTGTGACTGTTTCCTCGCCAGCTGGATCAGAGCCTGCGGTACGCCCTGTCCTTTACTTCAGCATGGACACAGATGATGTGACTCAAACGTCGGCCAGAACTGACGAGCAGCACCCTTGGCTCGAATACTCCGTTTGCGGATCTACACTCCGGGCCAACTTCAACTGTGGCACCCAGATGAGGCAGTACCCGCCCTACCTGAGAACTCTATCGGGAGTGGAAACGGAGCATGTTGACGGAACTGGTGAATCCAGTCAAGCATGGGCAATTCGTGACTGGCAACATCAAGGTTATCAACGGATTCTGTCTCGCTTGGAGCCCTTCTCCACCCATCATGACCCTGATCCATCACTTGCTGATGTACAACATCCGGACATCATCCGGGTCGATGGAGATGTTCACCTATGCCCCTCCCATTTCTGACGGTGATCGCCCGACAGCTTTGCAGCTTCCGCACACGTCTTGCTCATCTTGGAGATCTTTCGTCCCCGTCTTCTGAGCGGCCTCGTGCGGAGCGTGCAGTTTCGCGCTCTCCCCGACGCAGTGGATATTTTGGTAGACGTTAGAATTGATGAGCCAATTGCGTGATCTTCCGGCTGGAACAAAAGATTTTCGCCCCTCACTGAGGGGCGTGTGTGTGCGGAGTGGCAGAAAACCCTGCCACCACACAATAACTTTTTCCCACTGCAGACACTCTCGTGACCCTGGTGAAGCAGTTGGAGACGTCCAGCTGTGTACCTGCAATGGTTGTGCAAAGTCTTTTTGGCCCGTTGTTTCTCTCGCTGTGTGTGCTTCATGTTGAACCTTGTAACGTTTTCGACACTAGAGGGAAACCGAGTGCATTGCGAGCCGAAACTTATTCATGCAGAACCTTATCCAGGCCGAGACTTACCAGTTGTACTCGAAAGATTAGAACCCTCCATCTGGATTCTAAGTGTGTGTGTGTTTTGTGTTTTTTTCCGGGTAGTTTTAGGTGGTTTAATGGGTGTTTCCATTTAACAGAGAGGTGGTTTTGGTTGGTTTAGTGGGTGTGTGTGTGTTTCCATTTAACCCATATTCACTTTTAGCAGAGGGGGTGGGACCCTTTTAAAAACAACTTCCGACAAAGGCGTGCCTTTCTTCAATGGTCCGGGAAAAATGCAACATGGGTGTGTCATAAAATAAGGGAACCCGCAACAGCTGGTTTCCAGTGGTTTCCTATTTTGACACAGCCCGAACACGAATATCGATCCTCGGGGGGAAAACACACCCACACACACAGACACACTAAAATTTGGTGATGCAATTTGTTGAGGCTCGGTGCCCTGTTTGGCCGCTTGGTTCAAAGGGAAACCAAGAGGAAAACCACCATTTTGCTGTCTGTGTTGACACAGACCCACATGGGGAACGCCCCCGGGGCCTGACGTTGCTTCACTGGGTTGGCGTTCTTTGGGGAGGCGAGGACCCCCGCGACACTAAGGGAATTCTTCCCGACGAGCACCCCCTCCCCTGCACAGGGCGACAGTGCCTACCTTCCCTCATTCTCAGCCTTCTGCGGCCTTCTGTGGCCTTGCTTCACCTACTTTGCTTCCTGTCATGGCCCCTGCGTGGCCTTCCGTGCCCCCGCGTGGCCTTGCTTCACCTACCTTGCTTCCTGTCATGGCCCCTGCATGGCCTTCCGTGGCCCCCGCGTGGCCTCACCTACCTTGCTTCCTGTCATGGCCCCTGCGTGACCGTGAACCCTGCGTGGCCTTGCTTCACCTACCGGCGTGGCATTCCGTGGCCCCCGCGTTGCTTCCTGTCATGACCCCCTTGTGGCCTTGCCTTCTGTGGCCGCCGCGTGGCCTTGCTTTGCTCACTTTGCTTCCTGTCTTGGCCCTTGCGTGAGCTTCCATGGCCGCCGCATGGCCTTGCTTCGCCTACTTTGCTTCCTGTCATGGCCCCTGCGTGGCATGCCGTGGCCCCCACGTGGCCTTGCTTCACCTACTTTGCTTCCTGTCGCGTGGCCTTGCTTTGCCTACTTTGCTTCCTGTCACGTGTGGCTTTCCGTGACCGCCGCGTGGCCTTGCTTCGCCTACTTTGCTTCCTGTCATCCTTGCGTGGCCTTTCGTGGCCGCAGCGTGGCCTTACGTTGCCCACTTTGCTTGCTGTCTTGGCCGCCCCGCGTTGCCTTGCTTCGCCTAATTACTTTGCTCCCCGTCCTGGCCCCTGTGTGGGCTTGCGTGGGCGCCGCGTGGCCTGACTTTGCCGCCGCGTGGACTTACTTTGCTCACTTTTTTGCTTGCTGTTTTGGCCCCTGTGGCCCCGCGTGTCCTTGCTTCGCTTGCTTTGCTTCCTGTCATGGCCCCTGCGTGGCCTTCCGTGGCCGCCGCATGGCGTTGCTTCCTGTCTTGGCCCCTGCGTGGCCTTCCGTGGCCGCCGCGTGGCCTTACTTTGCTCACGTTGCTTCCTGTCTTGGCCCCTGCGTGGCCTTCCGTGGCCGCCGCGTGGCCTTACTTTGCTCACGTTGCTTCCTGTCTTGGCCCCTGCGTGGCCCTCCGTGGCCGCCGTGTGGCCTTACTTTGCTCACTTTGCCCTGAGGCCCCAGCGTGGCCTTGCTTCGTCTACTTTGCCCACGCGTGGCCCTCCGTGGCCGCCGTGTGGCCTTACTTTGCTCACTTTGCTTCCTGTCTTGGCCCTTGCGTGAGCTTCTGTGGCCCGCGCATGGCCTTGCTTCGCCTACTTTGAGACCTGTCTTGGGCTTTCTGTGGACCCGCGTGGCGTTACTTTGCTCTCTTTGCTTCCTGTCTTGGCCCTTGCGTGGACGTGGCCCCCTGCGGGTCTTGCTTACTTTGCTTCCGTCTTTGGCTGCTGGGCCCTTGCGGGACTTTTGTCTTGGTTCCTGCATGGCCTTCTTCGGCCCCGGTGTGGCCATACCTTGCCTTTCCCTCTCCAACCCTCTGTCGCCTTCGCATGGCCTTTGCTCTCTCTGTCTTGGGCCCTGCGCAACCTTCTGCGGCCCCGCATGGCATGTTTGGCCCTGCGTGGCCTTACCTTGCTTACCTTGCTTCCTGTCTCGGCCCCGTCATGGCCTTCTGTGGCCTTCTCGTGGCCTTCCTGCACTTCCTGTCTTGGCCCTTGCGTGGCCCTCCGCGGCCCCAGCGTGGGCATTACTTGCTTTGCTGTTTTCCACACTTGCGCCACCCTTGGGTTGACCCGCTTGCCCATGGTGTGGCCTGTGTCTTGGCTGCATCTAGTTTCCGGCCGGCTTGAACCCCAAGCTTCGGCCGGGGGGGGGAAGCGCGGGTCTGGCCTCGCTAACATGCGCTGGCCACGAACCAACCAACCAACCAACCAACCAACCAACCACATGGGGAACGTTTCCCTTGGTCGATTGATCAGCATGATGTGCGGTTTGGTCAAAATGTTATTCGTGAATGCTTCAGTTGAGACATGGGGGCACTCGCTAGATAACCATAAACCGGGACACGCTCAAATTTGCCTGTGTCGAGGTATTGCGCATTTTGATGGTGGCACATATTGAGGCTACGATGGGGCATCCCCTTTGACGCGGATCCGGATCATTTTGAAAAAGTCCCCCGCGCTATTGATCCGCTCAGTCAATATGAGGCTCATGGCAAACATATCCTGTCTCCATGTCGTTCTCGGGAGCACTGCGACATGGGGACTGTTTGTCACACATGACAGTTTGGAAGTTGAAAGCACCGGCTGAATATTGCCCGTCCCCAACTTATTCTGCGAGCTCGGAAGTGGGTTTGTTGTCAAATGGGTGTGGCCCTTTTTAGGCAAACCCCCTTTTGGCTGGTGCTAAAGGTAAGTAAAAGGACCATCTCCTTTAAGACAATCCGAAATGAGGCGATCTCCACAAAATGGCTGGGTTGTTTACTCTTCAAAACCACCCAGACTTGGTGTCGCATAAAGGGCCTGGGCCCAAATGCAGTGAACCCGTGGGCCCGAGGCAACCTCCAATCCAAGGACCTGCATGTCTCAAGCGCGGTTTGTTTGCTTGAAGGCACAGCTCGGTCGGGCGGAACGCGTTTTTCTTGACCCCGGCGATTGTGCGAAAGCTGGGCGAGAAGGCCCTGGAGAGCCTGCAGAGTGCCGTGAGACTTTGGTTGAGACGAGTGCCCTTCGTTTTTCTCGGTTTGGTACCCTTTTCAGGATGGTGTAATGGGACGTCATCTGGAAAACCGCCATTCTGGGGGGACCCCTATTTTTCACATGCCCGTTTGTTGGGCTTTCCTTTGGACCAAGGTTAGCTAACAAGTGACCATATAGGGCCGGGGTGCTTCCAACTCTCAACATAATGGTGGCCTTTTGGTCAAAGATCAGGCCTGTTGCTCCTCATTGGTTTATGGCGTCCAAACAATGGGTTGGGGGGCTGAAAATAATCTTTTCCACCGGGTCTCAAGGATTGTCTGATTGTTCTGTTGCTTCTCGTGGCCACCCTGCCCATAGAAATCATGGCCAGGTTGCGGGCAATGTAAAGGAGGCGGTGGAGGAGTGTGTGGCAGTGAAGCATTTGGTGACTTCTAGAACGGCGGCCTCCTATCCGGGCTCCCACAACATGTGCCAGTGCTTCCAGGAGAGTTGGATTCGGCAAGTTGGATTCGTCGGAAAACAGTCTTAGAGATGCCATCAAGAAAACCAAAGCCAGACGCGTGCAATCGTTGGAACCGCAAACTTAGATGAAGGATTTGGTCTCGACAGTTTTCCGGACCTTGGAGGATGTTGGTTGTCCTTGGATGTGTCTTTCCAGATAGGCTTCAGGTTGGTCCGGGGCGGCAGGTTCCACAGGGTTTTGACAGGGTTCCACAAGGCTAGGGCCACAAGGTTCTGCGAGGGCCTATAGAGTCCGGGGCGGCTCTGAGGTAGCACAAGGCTTGCGCAAGGGTCCCACAAGGTTCTGCGAGGGGCTATGGAGTCCGGGGCGGCTCTGGTAAGGCAGGGTTCCACAAGGCTTTGCGCGAGGGTCCTACAAGGTTCTGCGAGGGCCTATGGAGTGCCTCGTGCAACCCGAGTTTTTTTGGTGGAGCCCTGTGAAACCTTCCGGCCTTCCCAGCCCTCGCAGAAGCTCATCGAACCCTCCTGGAACGCTTGAACCTGAGCTCAGCACAAAAACCCCGTGGAACTCTTGCAGAACCCATGGGGGCCCGCTTGCATCACCGGGAGGTCAGGGCGCGATTGACTGTCAGGCCGTTGCGGCGTCTACCCAGACGCGCGGGCCAGGTTGCACGGTCGCCGTTCGGGCCCCGTCGGCCGTACCTTTTTGTTAGTCAAGGCGTCTAAGCAAAACCAGGAACGCGCTATGATTGGTGGCTTGGATTGGTAGTTTGAACCTCCCCGGGCCGCGTGCTCAGGGCCTGGAACCTTGCAAGAAAGTCAAACTTCAAAGATAACCAGAGTTGAACTCAACTTTTAAATCCCACCTCCCAAGCTTGGGGTTCTGCGTTTCAGAGGAGCACGTGAGCGACGCCCAGCCCTCAGAGCCCATCTTCCTGGTGCTGGAGCTCTGCGGAAAGAGCCTGAGCCAGCGGCTCCGCGAAAGACCCAACTGGGCCTGGCGCAAGCAGACGCTGGGAAGGAGATTTAAGCAAATGGGGCTTGTGTGGGCGGTTCAAAGGCTGGCGAAGCTCCTACGGCCGTAATATGGGTGTGAATTTTGATGGGTCCCGGACCCGAAATGGTGGATATAATTTGGAGGTTCGTGTCCACCAAGCACTTTTAAGGGGATTCCCTATTAAAACTCAGCCACCTGGGATGCTCACTCTGCGCTGAGGTGGACCTTAGTGACTTTTTTGGCCAATCCCTGAGGAAGTGAGGATTTCCACTTGGGATACTCACTTCCTCAAGGAAAGATGCCTGTTGGGTGTCTCTCTTTTTTTTGAGGATACCCTTTTAATTGTTCATGGCCATAATCATACCGCTGGGGTCACTGGCGACATTTGAACCCGTTCCCGCTGTTGGGTTTGTCGGTTTTTGAGTATGTCCCCTTGGATGGATTCAAAGGAGAACCGAAAGGAAAGAAGCCATTTTACGGGTCTCCTATGTCGGGAACCACCGATGTGCTTGTAGTCTTCCAAGATCTCTAAGTTTCGGCGGATTCGTGCTGGGGTCTCCTCAGATCAGAAAATACCTGGATCCTCCAAGCTGTGCTTTTTTGTGTGCTCGATCAAGAGAAAGGGCTTGTTGTCTGAAAAAGCGCTTTTGCTAGATGCGGGCTTTTCCCAGTGATGCATGGTTTTCTTGATTGGGCTTGTGCTGGAAAAGCGCCTTTCCTCGGTCAACAAAGCTTTTGCCCGGCCAAAAGACGCTTTTTCTTCGCGGCAATTTTGAAAAAGAGGAGTTGTTGGGTCAAAAAAGCCGTTTTTGAAAGAAACAGCGGAAATGATTGCTTTTTCCTCAAACGGCGGAAATTTTGCACATTTTGCTTGCCCAGGTATGTTTGGTTGTTTACCCTGGGGTTGGGCCAGTTGCGGTGGCTAAGTTTAAAAATCGCAGGACTTCCGAAAACGATACCAATCAAAGTAGAATTCAGGTTTGCCTTTTGCGATGTCCTTGGACATCCAAGCTTTTGGGGTTCATGGTACGGGCTATATCAAGCCCTATAACCATGCTTGTAGAATCAAACAGCGGATTTCGCGCACTTCGTGGGATGTGAAACCAACCTGGGCTTTGGTTTTCCGTGAACATGGCCCCGAATAGTGATTCTAAAAAGTGCTGAAGGGCAAATGGCTCTGAATGTTACTAGGCGGACCCCCTCCAAATTGGTTGGTGGACAAGAATCCCCATGTAAATGAGGGGTTTCCGCCAGAGGTTGCCTTTAGGTTCGGTCAACATATGCATGCGGTCAGTTTGGGAGAGACATGGCTTTCATCCAAAAACCTGGGGATAAGCAAGAATGTTTACATGTCCAATAAGGTAACCGCATATTCTGAGCGGCTCAACTGGGTGCATCTCTAAACAGGATACGCAACCCGTTGATTTTGTTTAGACAAAAAGGGCATCCTCAAAAAGCCTCTCTGGAAGGTGCTGTAAAAGACACGGGACAAAGGACGGTTAACCGGCCAAAATGGTCTTGACGGTGTCGTGTTTTCCCCCGCTGTTTTTGCTACACCGTTTGGAAAGGCATCAACTTGTTTGCTTCCATGGGACACTAGAATGGACGACCCCATATGTTGGAACATATTTTCGTATATCCTGTTGTTTGTTGGTTTCTTTGCAGGGTGATTATTTAAGGAAAACAGGTCAAACCCTGTTGGATGGTAGTGTGACCTAGAGGTGGCGTTGGGAGGGGGGTTGGGGTTTGGTTGGGAAGTGGTGGGGTTGTGCTGTGACCTAGGGGTTGGGGTTTGGGAGGTTCGGGACTGGCTTGGAATTGGTTTGGGGTGATTTGAAGGCCTGGTTGGAAAAGTGGAGAGTCATGTGGTCCCGACTTGGGCGTGGAACCACTCTGGAGCCGCTGGTTCTTGTGGATGACTCAGGCTTCGCACCTCATGCCACCCTAGACCTACGCACTGCTCTGGGCGACACCCCCGGGATGGTGCCAATTTTGAACTTTGTCGAGCGGAGTACATATCTGAAAGCAAACTTTCATTGCCTGCACCCCGGATTGTGCCATGCTCAAGAGTCGTTGTGGTCATGGTCATGGTGGCCAATCATTACATGGATGCTTCTTAATTTCCCTGTTGAAAGGTTCTTGAAAACATGTGTGCCGCTTTGGTGAGCGCTGCTCCCATTTGACCACTGCCCCCCCCAATCCACCCAACCGCCCGCACCAAGGATCATCACTCAGATCCTCCAGGGCGTTGACTTTCTGCAGGCCAACGGCAAGATCCACCACGACCTCAAGCCCGACAACGTTTGCGTCACCGACGAGGACGTAGCCACTCGGATCCAAGAAATCGCGGATCCAAAATGAACGACTGTCTCATTTGTTTGACTTGGGATGTTTTTTCACTTAAGTTTTTTCTGGACCAAAAACCTGCAAACTGATTCTAGAGTTTATCAGGGGCATGATTTTGACTGGGGAGCGTCAAAGTCGGCAACCTTGTTTTTAGTTCTCTTTATTAGAACTCCGAGCAAGCTTGTTTAAGCTTTTTCTGGACTTACACAGGTTGACCTTTCAACTCTCCTCTAAACTTATTTTAGATTCTGGGTTTGGCGAAATATGAAACGCAGTCCAAGGATATTTGCTTTAGTATGCCTTGGGGTTAGGCCCTTTGGTCAGAAGTCCGCGGATTGTAGCCCCAACGTCCCGTCAAGGTTCTTGCTGAGCATGGTTTCACTTGAGGAGACCCCTTTTGGAGGAGAGCGGGACGCTGTAAGCGTGCGTTTTTTTTTAAATAGTGGAAACTCAAGTTGAACTATGTTTGCATAACGTGTGTTTGAATGTCAGCTGAATTGTAAATAAATTCGGTTGGAAAGAACATACTGTGTAAGTTATCAACAAAAATAGACTTATTCCAACTTAAATTATATTGTGAAACTGTGAAACAGAAGTTGTGATGGGATTCATTCCTTATCAAACTACGTTTAAACTCTAATTTAATTGCAATGTTCTATTGGGAAAGGATTTCTAAATGCAAGATGCAATTTCCAGTAGGATTCTGATCAAGTATTTCCTTATTGAGTTTCGTTGAAATCCTATTCAACATCAAACTTAGAGAGCGGCCGTTGGTGGAGATGTGAATTGAGTACGACAAACGCTCAAATCACGGTGTTTTACGGTGTTTTCTTACCATGGTAGTTCTGGGGCTAGTAAACACAAAAAAACACACACAATTTTAGGATCTCTCCTTCTGAAATCTACTGAATATATTTGCCAAATTCTACCCAACGTCTAACGAAAATTAACTAGTTATTAAGGAAGGACTCCAATCAAGTTGTATAATTTAAATTAGATTTTCAATTATGGTTCATGTACTTCAACATACATGTCACACGTGAATTCCTTTTCAATTAGAATTGTCCTTGCAAATCAGTAAGCATCTACACAACATGTATTAGACATGTTCGGAACCTCTAGGTTCTTTCCTTACGACATGTACTCAATATATTTATCAAGTTCTACTTAATTCCTATCTCACATTAAATATATCATTTAATAAGGAAATAATCCAAACATAAGTTTTGGCTTAAAGTAGAACTTAAATAATGTTTGTTCCTGTCCAATAGAATTGTCTTTGCAGATCAGTACGCATTTGAACAGCTTGACAATTTTGGGACCTCTAACTTCTTTCTTATGAACTCTACTCAGTATATTTATCAAGTTCTACTTGTATAGTTCTAATTAAAACTAAGCAGAATGTAACAAGGAACGAGTCCAACCAGAGGAAACCATCTCTAGCTTGCTGTACTAGGGCTTCGATGTGAACTAGGTACACCGCCCATAGTAGCCCGTGTAATATCGTGCGTTTTTTGGCTTCGGAGCAACCTGTCGAAGCTGCGAGTACAGGGGGAAAAGGAGAGCCCCGTCTGTCCCTCATGTAAAATGCGCCGACATAGTGGGGAATTTCTTGCGTTCCCAAATCCCAATGGCACGCTGCTTTCAGAAGCTCATTTTTACAGCCCCCAACTATCGTGTGTCAAGGAATTTGCCATGTTCAAGACTGTATGTTCAAGACCGGGAACCGCATGATGAACTCTCTTTTCAATAACCGACGGGGGGAAGGGGTCCTTAGTCTGTTCTTCACCCAAAGGTTAATTCAGCAACAATGTTTGTCGTTTTTTCGGTTGCAGGCAACACACTGGCATGTTCAAGACCGCATGTTGCCTGGGAACCGCATGATGAGCTCTCTTTTCAATAGCCGACGGGGGGAAGGGGTCCTTAGTCTGTTCTTCACCCAAAGGTTAATTCCCCAAGAATCTTCGTCGGTTTTTCGGTTGCAGGCAACACACTGGCATGTTCAAGACTGAATGTTGCCTGGGAACCGCATGATGAGCTCTCTTTTCAATAATAGTCTGTTCTTCACCCAAAGGTTAATTCCCCAACAATCTTTGTCGTTTTTTCGGTTGCAGGCAACACACTGGCATGTTCAAGACAGCATGTTGCCTGGGAACCGCATGATAAGCTCTCTTTTCAATAACCGACGGGGGGAAGGGGTCCTTAGTCTGTTCTTCACCCAAAGGTTAATTCCCCAAGAATCTTCGTCGGTTTTTCGGTTGCAGGCAACACACTGGCATGTTCAAGACCGCATGTTGCCTGGGAACCGCATGATGAACTCTCTTTTGAAAAACCCACGGGGGGGAGGGGTCCTTAGTCTGTTCCCCAAATATCTTTGTCGGTTTTTCGGTTGCAGTCAACACACTGGCATGTTCAAGGCCGCATGTTGCCTGGGAACCGCATGATGAACTCTCTTTTGAAAAGCCGACGGGGGGAAGGGGGTCCTTAGGCTGTTCTTCACCCAAAGGTTAATTCCCCAAAAATCTTTGTCGGTTTTTCGGTTGCAGGCAACACACCGCATGATGAACTCTCTTTTCAAAAGCCGACGGGGGGAAGAGAGTCCAAGTAAGGCAGCCAGACAGTGAAGAAAGGACCCAGCACCAAGTGTGTAGAGAAGCAATGCGAGACGCCAGCCAAACGCAGCAAGATGATGAAGGCAAACGCTAGACGAACGTCTTCTGACACCATGGCTTGAGCACAAGAAGCTACAGCAAAACAAGACGGCTCAGCACACTAACAAAGAACGCCACACACCCCACAGAAACAGGAAATAAAGAAGTTCTTGTCAAGCAAAGTCGAAGAAGTGACGTAATCATTCCCCCTCCCCCCAAAAAATGGAGAAAGTAGGGGGCCTGGGGGGAAGAGGGAGGAGTGTTGGGGTTATTGGGTCAAATGTTGTTATCCAACGTTTTAACACCCTTGTTTGATTTCTTCCTATATTTTGTTGTAGGGTGTTAGGGGTGGATTTTCTGGGGAGTAACGTTTTGTTCATTTGAAAGAGTTAGCCCTTTTAGTAGTTATTATGTTCTGGGGTGTTGGTGGTGTATTTGTTTTGTTAGTGTTTTCTCACTAATTTTCATTTATAGGTTAAATGTTCAGTATAATTATAACATATAAGATTTTACATGTTATTATTATATTATGATTATAATTTCAGTTCAGGATAATAATCTAATTGGTTTGTCTTACTTCTTTCATACATCATTTTAAAAATAATATTAACATCTCTCACTGTATTCTGAACATTAAACTTTTTACTTTCAATAAATAATTTGATATTTTCTTTAACATCTTCTCCTTTCTCTTGACTATAACCCAACATCCATAATATATCATCAATCATTTCATATTTTTCTTACTGATTTTAAGAAACTGTTTAACACAATCGTAAGGTGGTATTTTATTTACAGTTAGAAATATTAAAATCTCATCTTCTACATTTCTATTATGTATTCTTTTTATTCCCAACAGACATTTGATTAAAAATTGATTATCTCTCCATGTTTTACAATTTTTACATATGTCTTCTTCACCATCCATTGAATAATTAATAATATTATTCACTATTTCATTAGGTAAACTCAATTTATACAATTCCATATTTTCTTTTTTGAAGTGACAACAATCATAGCATTTTTTATTGATATAATTATTGATTCCATCACCGTTCATTTTCCTTTTAATATATAAGGTAATATTTCTTTAAGTAGTTTTGGCTAGGGGGTTGCTGGTCGGCTGGTCTGGGTTTCAGGTTTAATTTAAATGTCTTAACCTTCTTGTTAGATTATAAAACAATGCTTACTCATATTATAATTAAATATTATGATTAAGCCATGAAATCATTGTTTCTGTTATGTATAAATTTCAAATGTAATATGTTCTATAGCAATGATTTCGTCTCGTTTCATAGTCTGTTTTATTTCTTCAACTATTTTTTCAATATAAAATTGTAATGACGCTCTACTTGTTATCTTGTTCTGTTCGCTTGATGCATAATAACTACAGTTGCAAATATTATTCCTATACATAATTTTCGAACTAATTTCTATTCCAACCTTTATTTCTTCATCATACTTCATCACTCTTAATAATTCTTTTGGTGGTTTCAACGCATATGAAAGTGCTTTATCACCTTTCAAACATATATTGCTACTCAACACATAATATCTACTTTCTCCTTCTCCTTCTCGTTCAAAAATAGACGGTTTCCATTTCCTTTGTAAGACCCTTAATGCTTTACACTGTTTTAGTCTTTGCCACCCTTCATTGCCATTCATATAAGAAGCGATGTTTAACAATGCTTCCATAGGTAAGCTAGCACAATTCTCAACCATAAAATTATTATCTAACATTTTACCCTCACTCATTTTTCTCTTTATATATAAGGCTTTTTCTCTTTAAGTAGTTTTGGCTAGGGGTTGCTGGTCAGCTGGTCTGGGTTTCAGGTTTAATTTAAATGTCTTAACCTTCTTGTTAGATTATAAAACAATGTTTAATCATATTATAAGATAATACTATTAATAAACAAAAGTTAATTTTACCCGTATTCAATCTCACCAGCGATACAACCACTATAACAACTCATACTATACTCACAACAATACTGCTCGTATCCTTTTATTAATTGGTCTGTGTAAATTTCAATTAATTCGCTAAGAATATATCTCATACAATAATTGTTATTTCTATATGACCACCAACTGTTTAGGTTTGGAAAGCTAAACCCACAACGTTTTATTTTTTTTAATCTTCAATGGTAAGACATTTTCTTAAAATGATACAAATTTCATTTTCATTATTCTTACAGTATGATTTTAATGCTTGATAATACATTTTTCTATTTTTAAACCGTTCTTTAACTTCTTGTATATCAAATACTCGGTCAATGTGTTTTCTGTAATGTCTTATTTTTATACTATATTGGTTTTCTGCTAGTAGTG